TGTATGTATGTATGTATGTATGTATGTATGTATGTATGTATGTATGTGTGTATGTACAGTAAGTATGTGAAATTCAAGTTCTCCATTAGATTTACTGATCTGAGACCAAGCAGCTTTTCTTCACTTAATGTTGTTTCAAATAAACCTGATTTAAGTTTGTTCATCTCCTTTAAGTCAGTGATAGTGCTAGAAATGCCAACTGTCAACAGTAAATGAGTATATGTTGATGAGTCATCAGTGGTTACAGTTTTTTTTATTTCATATAGGAGCATTTCTATGTGTACAGTATATATCCATCTGTATCTACATTTGTCCATTTTTACATACAGTACAAATCTGAACTTGTGATGTTAAGCCTGTCAGCTGTACAGCTTTTTCTCAGATAGAACCAAATACAAAGGGGAAAAAAGACGAACATGAGACAGTGCTATGAGAGGATCCAGTGAATTTCAAACAGCCAAAAGTATTTTTAACACAGAACAAACAAAAGGTAGAGATTTACTATTTCCCATTGTAGTGCTTTAGGTGTCACAGTGGGGAGGTAACATGTTGAAAAGATTCCTGGTAGAAGTTCAGGGTGAAAATAATGCCTTATAAATCTTTTGTATCCTGTGTTGTCAGAGATCAGAGGGGTGGTGTGTTTAAGTCATCTAAGAGTTGTGCCATTTATTAATCGGAAGGTTGGATTCCTACTTAACTCCTTTGGGTGCTACTCTTGTCATCATACTCTCTCCTTCTTCCCATAGCTATAGAGCCACATTAAACTCAGTCACCAGGAAGTCAACGTAGTCTCTCTCTTTGGTCTTGAAGGCCTCGGCAATGAGGCGTGCGGCGTCCCTGTGCTCACGGCCTCTCAGCGAAACCCCGTTCACTTCCAGGATGACCTGGCCCACCTTCAGCTGGCCACAGTTATGAGCTGAACCACCTCTCTGAGAGAAAGACAGAGACAGATATATATTGACTTTTAGAACAAGTTTGAAAACAACCAGTGGTAGAATTAATAGAAAACTGGCCAAGGGAAAATCTCTTAAAGGACAAACTATTTGTATATATGTCTCTGGGACAAACAAAACTCCGAACTAATTTATTTATTATTTTTTGTAGAACAAGTCAGCCGGATCACAACTCGATCCCTCATGAAGTTTTATGTTTGTACTGATGTTCACGAACCACAAATGTTCATAAAGTGAGATTGTGATTAATCAAACTGAGATAAATCGTTATATAAATCTGATTTTACATATCTACAGAGGTACGGCAAAAAAAAAAACATTTCAGAAAAATAAAAATGAGAAAAATATATTCAGATCTAAAGGGAAAAAAAAATCAAACCAGACTTAAGAAACTGCAAAAATGTTTATTTGTCGAAATAATCAAGAAATATGTATCTGTAATATACTATAAATAAAAGATAAGGATTGTATAGATTAAATCACCTAATAAAAGTGTCATGTTTGGAATTGTTGAAGAAATGTTAGAAATGTTCTCTATGTACATGCTCAAAGTTTATTAACATTTATATTAGCTTATAAAATCTACCTCAGTCCATCCATCCATACTCAAATTTAAAATTGGACCATTTTAATAACCAAGCTAAAAAGATCCAAAAGTATGTGTAAATACCTCAATGTTTTTTGACGATGAGATTTTTAAAAGACCAAATTAGATGCTGTAGGCACAGTATTGCATACACCTCAGAATTGGTCGAGCGTGAGAAAGTGCATTAAAAAACGAATCCAATTTTTATCAGCAAACATCTTTTTTTACTTTATGTTCTGAGCTTTCTCCCAAAATACTAGTAATGCACACATTTCTCCAGTACCTGCTTCTACCTGACCCTTAAGGAATATCACGTCATTGTTGCAGGACCCTTCGAACCGTAAGTGTTAAGCATGTGTTGACAACTACTTCAATTTATCTGATTTAGTAATATATTGTGATGATCATGCTCTTTTGTTCCTGGGTCATGCTGATTGCTTCAGGCTGGGCGGGCTCAGGGTGGAAGCCTGCCCAGCAACACACCTGTTGGCAGTCAGGCACCCTTTTTATGCTTGCACTCTCTCTCACTTTCAGAGAATCGATTTCACGCCTGTCTTGCAACCTGTGTGGTCATGTCCTGTCTGTTCAGCACACCTGTAAGCCCTGCTCCCCTAAGACACCACATTCCCCCATTGGACATTTGGCACCTGGACTTGGCATGCTCTTATCAGCTCCTTGGTACCTTCACCCTCCCTCAACACCAATACATCTCTTGTTATTTCGTTACCCCCTGCTCTGTGTCTGCTTTTGGGTCTAGTCCTCACCTTACCCATAACCAATATGTCTTTTATTTCTTCCTTTTAATAGTTTTCCACCATTGCCTTTGAGAGTATGCCACAGGTAAGGTGGAGCACAACTGAGCTTCTGAGTCAATTAACTAAAGGTGCTGAATTTCTTTGGACCTGAATGAAGCTTCACACAGTTAAAACAGTTTGTTAAAAAGAGAGGTTTTCAGTAGTCGTTATTCAATTTAAACATCAGTAATATTATTCAATAACATTTCCTGTTCACAAATTCGCGTCAGTGTCATTTTTCCAAAGACCATTCACAAAATCTATGCCAACAAGGGCTAAGGTCGCTCATGTATACTGAAAAACAAACGTTGATTTTTTTTTAGCTATTCAGAGAACTGGACATTTCTAAGACTTAAGAGTGGCAGTGGAGTCTGAAGTCTCTCAACAAAATGAATGCCTCATCTGTGTTTGCTCTTGTTCACCGTATCTGAAAGTCACCAAATGAAAGCTATAAGACATGAAGCTAGAAATTTTTCTTATGTACTTTCTTTCACTTCAGCGTGATTTGAAAACCACAGATTATAAATGGCAGTTACTGAGTTGAGTGGTAACAGACATTTTCAAGAAGGTATGAGTTACTAAGAGGCTATTTTAATGTCCATCTAAGCCCCATTAATACAACCTTTAACATTGTTGTCTTGACTAAAAATCGACCTGGGTAAGGATCTGGGTCTTTTGGGCTGGGATTGGCTACACAGCATCCTATCACAGGCAATCATTCACCCCAAACCAATGTTTGGGGTGAATGATTGCCTGGTTTTTAAGACCAAGATGATGCATTTAATATTTTTCTTCCCAAAAGTATGCGCAAGCCAAACCTGAACTGCACAGAAATGCTTGACTTATCTATTCCATGGGCAAATCTAATTTGACTTTTATTTATTCTATGGGCAGATCTAATTTGAAATCACTGATGGTTGCTGGATGTGTCTGGCTCACATGATTAGGGCAGCCATATTGAATCTACGAGCAGTTTGAGTATGGTGGGAAACTTATTTTGTGATAATTTTACTGTGTAAATGTTCTTTCTGCTGTGAGCTGAAGCAGTTCATTGAAATAATCTGTCTGACCTTGTTGTGTTCACGTAGATGGAGTAAACCATACAGGTAATATCAAATCTATCTGATCGCAGTTCTGCTACAGGCAGAATATTTATGTAACAGTGACACAGATTTGTCTATTATCAACCACAAAGATAATCATGAAATGTTTTCCCAACGACAGAAAAATACATGTAATCAGAATTTATATTTATGTTGGCTTTTTTTAGACTGTTGAAAACTTTAAATGCTAACAGACTTCCTTTCTCTGCTTCACTTAACATTCCGGACTTCAAATTCAGTTACACATTTTATCCCCTTTACCATTGCTTTCATTGTCATTTTTATAGTTAAAGACTCGCTGATCATGCTCTTATATGCAAAATTCATGCATTTATTCATAACTAAAGAAAGAAGAGATCAGGCTGGTGAATGTTTTATAATTCAGATAAAGAAAACATGGAATATGTATGCATATTTCTATGTTAAAAAAAACAAACTAATTTGAAAGTTTTAGTCATGAAAGTGCACAATACTGTTTTAAGCATTTGGCTGCACGACTGCATCATCCCATCTGTTATTAAGGCTACAAAAACTTCCAGGGGAAGCTGGAAGCTGTTGTTGGTCATATTGGGAAGATGGCAATGAGAAAGAGCTGTCGCTGGAGGAGTGGTGATGGTGACAGATAAGCAGCAGGCCAAATAACCAACAGGAGTATCATTTCTGCTTCATCCTGGGAAGTAGAGGTTTCAGGCAACCTGAGACCAGACCCTTAAGGCAAGGAGAGATGGCAAATAAAGTGGATTGCTGCATCACAACTTGAGGGTGCTCACTTTCAATAGTGTAGGAAGACTGTATTGAAAGCTGTACTTGCTTTGATGTGATTCCATCTTTGGTCTCTTTGGATAGCGCAGCTGTCCAATGGAAAACTGAAAACAAAATGACGTATTTCTTTTTTCTCTCCCCAAAGAAAGTTTATTATTTTGATACTTGGTCCTGACAGAATGACTGGAGAGGGGTACTTTGCTAAAGGGTCTAATAAGACACTGCGATCTCTAAGAACACTTTCCACAGAGTCTCTTTCCATCTTGTAATTTAATATGCAGAAAATCCTCTTCCCCCTCTGTAACGAATTACTAAACGCTTTGTCAGTTAATTGTTAGTGGTTTGCCCAGGTTCCCTCCTTCAACTGTTAATCAGATACCAAAAGAGAAATTAAAATGCAAATCACAACTATACAGCCATGGACAAAAACCTATAACTCTATATAGCGCTTGTGTGAATGAGGCTTGATGTAGATGCATTAAAGTTAAGTCAAGGTTTTTTAACGTAGTTAGTTTATATATATATACAGTATATACACATATACACATGCATGACCATTATCAGTTGTTGCCAGGATCTAAAGTCTCCATGGCTGTGCCAGCCCCACTTTTTTCTATTTGCTTTATCTTGCTATTGTTAAATAACATCATGTGGATTATTATGCATGTCCATTATAGTTTGATAGGAGCGGCACGGTGAAGTGGTGGTTAATGCCATCGCCTAACAGCTAGAGGGTTCTGGTTTCGAGTCTGTGGAGTTTGCATGTTCTCCCTGTGTCTGCGTGGGTTTTCTCCGGGTTCTCCAGATTCCTCCCACAGTCCTTAAACCTGCAGGTTAGGTTGATTGGGCATTCCAAATTGTGACCGTTAGTGGTATGTCAGACTTATTCACACATTGTGGGTAAATTGCATTTCAGACTAAAATCTGCACTTCGGGCATTTTGTAGTTATTCCAAAATCAGGTTAGATGTTTTTCCATTTAGCAGAGCTCCTCAAATTGCTTGTTTTATGATGTGCTGTGTATTACAATTTCTAAAAAGACTCAGACCCTAAGTTTTGTCCTTGGAGTGGACAAAGCATGCTTCAGGAACGTTAAACTGCTGCCTGGATATCTGCAAGGCTGTCAGAAGATATTTTCTATTAAAGGGACTGTGTTAAAATAATATCAAATTAAAATAAGCACGAAACAAATGCCGTCTCATCTAAGAATGCTTTTATAAATGCTTTACTTATAAATGAAGTTGAGGTTAGTTTAGTTAGTCCCGAACAGAAGTGAGAAAAGAAACAATGTCTGGTGAGGAGTACCGCACTATGAATAGCTCTGACATCACATTTGCCAAGCAGAAATAAATACTGGACAAATGACAGTTTCAAAGAGAGCATGTCCTTTCAAATTCATGCAACTTTGCATCATAATAGCCAATGACAACAGCTTCAGTGTTCAGGAGCCCAACATTCCCCCACAATGACCCTCCCATGAGCTAAACATGCAGCATATACCCAAATAATGCATCCATCCACAAATCCTTTTCATCCTTACAGAGGCTCCTCATCCTTCACTGCCTTATTACCACTGCTTTCACTTCTTCGCATCCTTTACTGCTGTCCTGTTTTTCCAGTGCACCTTTTGATTTTTAATGCACTGATTTCTAAATCTTTTGTCGGTTCCTTTGCAATCAAAGGACCCCCCCCGAATCACCACATCTGTGGGGTGAGAGGCAGAGACACAGCTTTGACAGTCTGTGGCTGATTTTTCCATTCCCACTCCTCAATCTACCCTTCTTGTTTTGAAAATGAGCTGCGTAGCTGCGCAGTTCAAATTGCTACAGGTTTTGTTGACCTGCAGACGTCTAAGGCAGACACAAACATCTACAGCTAGATGCGTCCTAGACATTTTCCTTTACTTTTGTGTTCTGACGAGCTGACCATATGACTTACGTTTCATATGCAACAGCTACACTGTAAAGCTAAATATGAAAAGAGTGGAGCTGAGCCATACCTTTATCTCCATATGAAGAGGTGGTTTACATTCTGCTGTTAAGCATCTTGTCTTTATCATTAGACATCAAAACACACATCTTCAATCAACTGAATCTGTGATGATCTGGCTCCGCCCACCAGCTGATTCACTCTCTGCCGGTAATTAGCGACATTGGTCGCACCTGCCATGGGCAGTTCATAAGCCCCACTCACTCGCTCACCTGGGCCAGAACGTCTCTAACCTAATGTGCGAGTCTTCCAGCGTTGTTTCTGCCTGCCTGCCTGTTACGTCCGTTTCGTCCCCGACTCCGAGCCTGCCTGCCCCTCGTCTGATTATCCTGCTTCGCCTGAGCCCTGCCTGGTCTGACTCAGTGCTCTGCCTGCCTGCCCGTGTCCCCGACCCAGCCTGCCTGACTCCGCGCTCCCGTCTGATCCCTCTGGACTGTCTCCCCGGCCTCGACCCCTGCTCGCCCCTGGACTCCCGTTTGGATTACCCTTATCGGATTATTCCTGGACTGACTCCCTGTTGCCGACCTCGCCTGCCTGACCACCCTCTCTGGTTTGTCCTATCAAATAAACCTTTCGAACTGATCGTTTGCCTCCGGGTGTTTTTGGGTCCGCTCGCTCGTACATTACAGAATCACTTCAAAGACTGCCTTAATGAGGAAATCAATGCTTTTCATATTATGATCATCAGATGCAATCAAGAGCAAAAATAAGTGTAAGTCTGTGTACAATATATCCCACCTGAAAAGTTGGTGTTGGGCGCTATGGCACAGAACCAAAAATGTTCCCAAGAAGATGGAGACCACAGAAACACAGGGACAACATAGATGAAACAAACATTCTGCTGACTGCATTGAAGGGAGTAACTTGATTTAGTAGAGGAGTATATTATTTTCTTCTTGACTCACCTGTATTGTGACAATTCGTGGCAACGGCTGGCGAGTGTTGGCTCCGCCCTCAATGGCAATGCCGAGAGTGCTGGCACTCTTTGGCACCCTCACTAGTGTGGAGGTGGGCTCCAACAGCCCTGGCTGAAGTAAGAGGGAATGATTACTCAATTTATTATTTAAGAAAGACTTTTACTGCGCAACACCTTTAAACCTAAATATATCCATGTCATCACCTAACCTCTGTTGTCTTTCTACCTTCCCTTTTTGGTATGCTGCTTGTTTTCACCCCTTGTTTCTTTTCTCTGAGCAGAATTTTTTGTTTTTACAAGAGCAACAACTCCATATCAACATGTACATATTTGGTTCTTATGAAAAATTCATTAATGACAATCAAGTTCAATCACTGCATATCAGAGGCACAAAAAAGCACTTGAATGTTCTGTTACAGACTTTGTTTTCCTCATTCCAGCTCTTGTGAATCTTCCCTCAACTCTTGTGAGTCTTTTTCCAGTGTGACTGATCTGACACATAGTACTGAACCAAACTTATTCTGGTAACACATCTGGGAGATTGTGGCTGAGGTATAAAACTGTTGCTTAAAAGTGAGTGGCTTTTAGCTAATCCACCTGCTCCAAAGTCTTGTAACCTGAAAACATCCATCCATCTATCCATTATCGTTCCCGCTTATTCCCTTATTGGGTCGCGGGGGGAACTGGAGCCTATTCAACTGGTAAGTGGGCGAAAGGCGGGGTACACCCTGGACTGTGACCAGAAAACACTCATTATTTTAATTTTTCCTTTTTTTTCACAGAGAAATACATTATTTAGGGAAAGAAAACAACCATGGTTATGTCTGGAATACATGGTTTTTACATCACCATGGTCTTCCTTTGTCCTAAGTGAAACGTATTCTATTATGAGGAAGGTGTCATTTTTACACTTGACCTGCAGTTGCCGTCATGATCAGAGAATATATGGTATATTCTAAGAAATCTAATTATAGGCTTTGCATCGGACTAACACCTATGGTGACGTATTTGGGCAGAGAACCGTCCCTTTTCATTCTGTTAGCATGCTTAAAGCTTTCAACTCGCTTGTTGAAACGATAGATGTGCTCAAATGCTTATGACAATAACAGAAACATCTGGTATTACGGACAGATAGGAGCCTCAGCTACTGTTTAACAAATTATGGTAAAAAAATATCCAGTTTTCACAAACTTTTATCGCTGTCCTTATGAAAAAGCTGTTTTAAAAATGTAGACATTATAATACGTCTACTCATTCAACTAATTCTGTCGAATGAGTACACGCAAAAAAAAGTCAATGTTTAATATTTCAGCAAGCATTTGGAAGCACATAACATCAATCTTTTTGGCACTCTCATAATGACAACATGGGGCAATGTGGAGGGTAGGATTTAGATTCTTTGATGGTTTGGAGCTTTTTATGGTGCACAGTCCATTTGTCGTCAATCTTCCTGCAAAGTAATTCCTACTGAAAAAAGAACAGCTTAACAGCCCTCTCATCACAAACAATCAAGACTACTCCCATTCTTACTTGTTATGCCTGACATCAATCAACGAGGACCCAAGAGCTATTCGAGTATCATTGCGTTACAGTACAGCGCCCGACTGAATAAATGATAGAGTGTGAGACTGAATGAATGACATGAGTGAGAAATAAATTGATGAGTAACACAAAAGAAAAAAAAGACTGTATGAGCAAAATGGGGGAGGAGAGAAGAGATCACAGTTAGGATTAAAAGAAGATTTGGAAGGATTAGCAAAAAACAAATTGATCTAACAACCTCTAACTCATGGCCTGTTTCTTTTCTTTTTTTTTCCAATTCACACACATTCACATGTGCACCCTTGTATTTGTGAGGACCCATGCTGACATTATGCAAACCCTTACTCTTTAATGGAAACTCGTGCATAGGTGCATATCAGATCGGAAAACCTAATATTATGTGAAATCTAAGAAAATGTCAGCAACTTTCATTTGTATTGGCGGCTGGAGCCTATCCCTGCTGATGATGGGCAAGAAGTGGGGTACACCCTGGACAGGTCGTCAGTCCACTGCAGGGCCACACAAGACAAACAACCACACACACTCACATTCACTCCAAGGGGAAATTAAGAGTGTTGATTTTTTTTAAAAATTGGAACAATTTTCCAATAGATTTATTTAAAACACTGTTACTATGTGGTTATGGAATCTCAGCCTTTTTTAGTTGTCGCTCGAGTGCAAAATGATCATTACACTTTCACCACTATTTTGACATAACAAATATAGCTATAAATTAATTTGTGTTTAATTATTGAAAGCAAGGCCATTCTTGTCCCCTTTCCCTAAGGAAATGTATCGGAGGCCTTAAATATAAAAAAGGATGTAAATTCATATATGAAATTCAGACTGATTTTGATGATCTTAGGAGTTGATAGGAGAAATTGTTTACACAAAAGGAAAAGACACATGTTTTGTTGTGTTCAAAAGATTGCCACAGTGTCCAAAAAAGACAAGCAAGGTTTCAAACTTCAACATGTCCTCACAAAGACAGGAACAGAGCACCACTTATTGCAAAGAGCAAACTCAGCTCAAATTTTCTACAGTTTGAATCCCCTCTTTCTTCTAAGTTCCGCTTCTCTGAATCACCCTCTCACCGGTTTGGAGGGTTTGTCCCCTCCACCTCCCTGGCTGTCTCGTGGGAGGCGTGTGCGTGAGGAATGCGGGCTACTGTCTTTGCTGATGTGTCCTGATTCAGCTATGTCCACACCACTGTCCTCGCTGAGGGTTTGTCCGCTATCTGACAGCTGAGACAGGGCACCACCTGAGGGGAGGCAGGCAGGGAATGTTAACACACTGTATCAAGCATTGCTTTTCCTGTAAAATATAACATAATTCTATTCTAATATCGTACCTCAACTTTAAGAGGTGTCTTGAATTTGTATGAAAGAAAACAATAACTAAGCGGAAAACTGAATATTTCACAAATAAATAGGTTTTCAAATTGTGTATGTCTTCTTATCTAGGTGGAAATTGGCTAATTTTGCAAAGAATTAAAAGCTCATTAAGATTAGTGATGGTTTGCTTACAGTAGCTTTGGACTCAATGTTCTGGGTGATTATTCATTGCAGCACATTAAGAATAAGTAAATATATATTTAGACAGCTTTTACATCTAATTTCTATCCCCTTATTGTAATAATTAGAAACCCTCAGAAACTAGCAAGTGTCACTAAACCACCACAGTACTGAGACAGCCTTGATCAACATGACAAACAACATCCGCCTGAACTCAGACGCAGGCAAAGTCTCGGTCCCAGTTCTGCTGATCCTGAGCGCTGCCGTTGACACAGTCGATCATGTGATTTTATTACAGAGGTTAGAAGACTGGGTGGGAAACTCTGATACGTGGTTCAAGGTCTACCTCGAGGACAGGTGTTACTTTGTTGAAATTGGGAACTGTGTCTCTGACCGAATGGGTCTGACTTGTGGAGTTCCCCAGGGTTCAATACTCGGACCCCTTTTGTTCAATCTGTAAACGCTTCCATTGGGACAGCTAATACGCAGCCATAATCTGTCCCACCACAACTATGCAGATGACACTCAGATCTATGTGTTGCTGACAACAGGAAAACATGGGCTTGTTGATTTATTGTGTAATCGTGTTGAACTTTCTCCAGACAAACCTTAAATCATTCTGTGGCCCACAGAAACTAAGAAAAAGTGTAATTAGTCACCTTCAGACACTCTCTCTGGAACCTAAAACCAGGCCAATAATCTTGGGGTAATACTAGACTCAGACCTGAGCTTTAACAGACACATTAAATCAATAACATCAGCAGCCTTTTACCACCTCAAAAACATTAACAGAATCAGAGGAATAGTGTCTAAACCAGACCTAGAAAGACTAATCCATTACTGTAACAGCCTTTTAACTGGGCTCTCTAAATGAGCTGTAAGATAGCTGCAAAACTTTGAGAATGCTGCTGCTAAAGTTCTGACCAGATCCAGGAATTATGACCACATCCGTCCATTGCGCAGTCCAGTGCTCAAGTCTCTGCAGTCTCTGAACCTGAGGTTGTCAGAGTCCGAGAACTGTGCATATAAAAATTGAATGTCTTTTCTCTGCACCCTTCACTTTTATCCACCTAATTTATTTTGTTGATTCATTTTCTTTTTTTTTTGCTTTTAAATTCTTTGTAAAGCACTTTGAATTGTCTTGTACATGAAATGTGCTATACAAATAAACTGCCTTGCCTTAAATCCATTCAAATAGCTGTGCATCTAATCTGAAGGCTTTATTTGTTTTTTCACATACAAAGCTTTTAAACAAGATGCTAAACATCATGCATACTAAATATGAACTTTTTGGCCCATCATCCAGTCATCGGTTATAAGCTTTCAAGTCATAACATAATTCAATAATTAAGAGTAATAATTGAGTGAAAACTTTGAAAAATTCTTCATCATTTTTTACAGTAAAACTGATGTCTAATGATACGTTGAGCAGGGGGCTCCTTACCTCGAGCTTGGGGTAACGGCCGCACTTCATTGACGTCGGGCTCTGCATTGGGTCTGTGCACCTCTACTGTAACAAATTGCTGTTTGGATGTTGGAGAGGAGGCCTGGGAGGCTTTGGAGATGGGCACTGATTTAATGGGCACAGAGAGGGGTGCGGGAGGAGCTGGGAGTGGTGGTGGTGGTGGCGGTGAAGGGGATGGGGCAGCAGGTTTTGTGCCTCTGCTGGGGGACTGTACCCTTGGGAAAGGGCCGATGTTATGCTTAGTGACTGTGGCCAACTGAGCAGATGTTATTTTTTCTTTCTTAGGCGGTCCAGAGGGCTCTCTCTTTTTGATGACAGCATAGTCCCGATACAGGTCTCTCGGGTGATCCCGTTTGTGTTGTAGTGAGGGTGAGGCAGGGCTGTGGCTTGGCTCTTTGCTGTGAGAGGTTGGAGCTGTGAAGTACAAGCCTGAGTTCGAGGATTCAGATGAGGGGCACTTGTTGAGAAGATCTCTTCTACCTGGATGCCTCTGCGCCCCCGGAGGGGGAGGAGGCTTGAAGGAAGGGGGAGACTCAGTTGTGGTGGACTGAACATCATCCTGAAGCGAAAGGATATATTCATCATCACTGATTAAGGGTGAAACTACTGTGAAAAATACAGCGGTACAAAACACTATGGACAAGGAGCTTAAAGTTAAAACAAATCCAACCAAGAAACTCTCTCATTGTATGTGCACAGATTTGAAATAAGGAGGCATTATTCATCTTAATCTAAGGCTTCATTCCAGTCCCCACAATTAAAAAATGATTTTCTTATTAAACTGCGGAAGCACAAAGGCAATTAAACAAGGCAATTACGTTGTATATCTGTGGTAGTAACTGAATTAACACATTACTCTGAATAAGACAACACCATGTTAAAGCCTTTTTCTGATTACCTTAACCTCAATATTACCTTGAGGTCAGCATAGTGGAGTGTTTTCTTCCCATCAGACTGCCTTGATTGCATTGAATCTGGGATGTTCTATAATTCAAGTAATTATAAGTCTGAAAATATGTTTTTTAATTTTTTAAAAATCACAGAACTTTCTGTAGACTGTACAAAAATACTGCAGCTATTTATTTTTGGTTACCAGTGGTATTAACAACTAATTCCAAAACTCAACACCCTTTCTGTATAATTGACTGACATTCTCAAGCCTAGATTGACAACCTTTTATCCCTTATAGTCCTTCATGTGTTCTTAGGATCTGTAAACTAGTTGTTGCTCACTGTCCCCAGGGCATGACTGGAGACAGATGTAGTGGAGATATAACTGTTATAGTTCAAAATTTGTGAAATAATTTGTGAAATAGTATCCCATTGAGAAGTATAAAAAGTATAAAAAGCCACCTCTGTCTCATCCTTTACAACTCTTCATTTACAACGACATTGTATGTTTTCAATGACAGAAGAAATTTGTTGATACAAACAATTCAATTAAGACATTAAGTCACATCTGTAACAACTACAGAATACATTAAAACAGTCTGTGAGTTTCATTCTCTTTGATTTAATCATTGTAACATGTTACTTTAAGTTTACAACTCAAAGGATATGCATTTCTGTAGCGTACATATTCTATGCGAAAATGGGTCTAAAACTAAACTTAATAGAATATTATCAAATGAGGTTTTACATTTGGCAAGTCAAAATAACTGCAGGCTAATACATTTTCTTTGGTGAATGTTGTAATTTGAGAGCCGTATGTGACACACTGATTCTTTATATCTAATACCCTGGACTCCTCCAGTCAATGCAGATCAGGACAGCTGTAGGAAAAAACAACACTTAAAGGAGGAACAAAGGTAACAGATTTTACCGTAGCACTTTAATCTGACAGTTCTCTATATCATGTTAAATAGTTATATTAGATGGGAAATGGGATAGCTCATCTGAAACTCCTGAAACCATTAAAATAATACCATAAATACAGTCTTAGTCAGAATAAGATCAATAGTTCAAATCCTGCTGTAAATGTAGACTTTCACAGGTTCATTGTAATTTATATAATTATATGATTAGAATATATATTTATACAATAAATATAATTTATATAATCATATTTCATTAAAATGCAAAAAAAGGAGTTCCAACTGCAAAAAAGAAGTTCTACTAGGACAAAATCCGCAATGCTACTGACATCCGGAAGCTGTTTTCAACCTTCAAATCTCTGTTAAACCCTCCTCTTCCATCTCCTGCAAAAAACTTCACGGTCGACTTATTTACCAACTTCTTCATCGACAAAGTGGCGAGGAGCAGCTGTCGGATCTCTGACCCATCTACAGTCATGGCCATTTAAGAATGACACAAATATTATATTTACACATGATCTGCTGCCCTCCGGTTTTCATGTGTGTATGTCAGATGTTGTCATCACATACAGAAATACAATCAATGCTTGAATTTTGTCAGAATTCCTAGGTTTTCGTTTTTCCACCCGTCTCTTGATGATTGACCATTAGTTTTAAATGGGATTAAGATCAGGGGAGTTTCCAGGCCTTGGACCAAAAATCTCTATGTTTTGTTCCTTAAGCCAGTTAGATATCACCTTTGCTTTATGGCAAGGTGCTCCATCATGCTGGAAAAGGCATTGTTCATCACCAAACTGCTTTTGGACGGTTAGGAGAAGTTGCTGTCGGAGGACATTCTGGTACCATTCTTTATTCATGGCTGTGTTTTTAGGTAAGACTATGAGAGAGCTGACTCCCTTGGCTGTGAAGCAACCCCACACACGAATGGTTTCAGGATGCTTTACGGTTGGCATGAGACAAGACTGGTGGTAGCGCTCACCTCGCTTCTCCGAACGAGCCGTTTTCCAGATGTCCCAAACAACTGGAAAGGGGATTCATCAGAGAAAAGGACTCTACCCCAGTCCTCAGCAGTCCACTCCCTGTACCTTTTGCACAATATCAGTCTGTCCCTGATGTTTTTCCTGGAGAGAAGTGGCTTCTTTGCTGCCCTCCTTGAGACCAGGCCTTGCTCCAGGAGTCTCGGCCTCACAGTGCGTGCAGATGCACTCACACCTGCCTGCTGCCATTCCTGAGCCAGCTCTGCACTGCTGGTAGCCCGATCCCGCAGCTGAAACACTTTTAAGAGACGGTCCTGGGGCTTGCTGGTCTTTCTTGGGCGCCCTGGAGCCATTTTGGCAACAATGACGTTGAAATGTGTTTTGGGGGATAAAGTAAATTTTCTGGGCAAATAGTGACTTTGCAATTAATTTCTGTTATGCTGAACACTCTTTTTAACATTCTGGAGTATATGCAAATTGCCGTTATAAAAACTGAAGCAGTAGACTTTGTAAATATTAACATTTGAATCATTCTCAAAACTTTGACTGGACACAGACCCCTGCTCACCCTTCCTTACTGGTCGTTCCTCAGAGCGCTCCTGGACCTAAGGCCTCTTCATTTACCCCTTCCTGGCTAAAATCATTGAACGAGCTGTTTCAAAGCAGGCCACAAAATTCCTCTCCCAACATAGCCTTGTGATTGTAACCAATCCGGCTTCGAGAGTGGCCACTCCACGGAAACGGTGCTGAAGTCAGTAACAGAATCCTTGAAAGAAGCCAAAGCGACAGGCCAATCCACAGCACCCATCCAGCTGGACCTATCAGCAGCATTTGATACTGTAAACCATGGCGTTCTTCTGAACAGCTGGCAGACATGGGCATTGCACACTCTTGGTTTTAATCCTACGTAACTGGATGTTCCTTCAAGGGTTCATGGCAAGGCCAAACATCAACATGACACTACCTCACCAAAGAGGTGCCCCAAGGCTCAGTGCTGGGTCCCCTCCTCTTTACGATATACACCACTTCGCTGGGCCCAATCATCCAGTCACATGGCTTTTCCTATCACTGCTATGCAGACGACACCCAGTTCTATCTGTCCTTTCCTTCAGAAGACCTCTCAGTACCAACGTGAATCTAAGACTGTCTTTCTGACATATCTGCATGAATGAAAGATCACCACCTCCTATTGAATCTCTCCAAAACTGAACTGCTTGTCATCCCAGCCAAGCAAACTATTCACCACAATATCAGCATCAGGTTAGACTCACTATCTGTGGCGCCCACCAAGACTGTAAGAAACCTGGGTGTCGTGATTGATGATCAGCTGACCATTACTCCTGTTGCTTGATCGTTTAGCTTCTCTCTGTTCAACATCAAGAAGATTAGGCCATATCCAACCCTACATGTGACACAGCTCCTAGTACAGGCATTAGTCATCTCCAACCTTGACTACTGCAATGCCCTCCTAACAGGCCTTCCAGCATGCGCTGTGAGAAAGCTACAGATGATCCAGAATGCTGCAGCCCGTTTGGTTTTCAACCAGCCAAAGAGAGCAAACGTCACACACCTGTTCACTGAACTCCATTGGCTTCTCTAAGCTGCTTGTATAAAATTCAAATCCCTGATGCTGGCCTACGGAGTGTTTGATGGATCTGCGCCCATCTACCTCAACACCCTCTTAAAGCCCTACGTCACCGCCCACCACGCCTTTCCTCCAAGGAGCGTCAGCGAACACGGACAACTGCTCAATCTAGACTCTTCTAATCTGCAGTTTCACACCAGTGGAATGACCTTACAAGCACTATCAGAGCATCAGATTTGCTTTCCTCTTTCAAGAAATCCTTGAAGACCCCAGCTCTTCCGAGAGTATCTTTAGTCCTTAAAGCTCTAAATGCACTTATTTTCTAATAGCATATGGCACTCGATGTATGGTACTTGTGTTATCTTTCCATAGTTGAATGTTAAATCCTTAATGTTAAATCTTCTTTTAGCATATTGCACTCAAGGTAAAGTAAGTGTGTAACTGGTGTTGTAGTTGAATGTTAAACCCTGTTTTTATAAGTTGCTTTAGATAAAAGTGTTTCCTATATGCATAAATGTAAATGTAGTTAAGATATCCTTAAGATATCCTAGTTAGTTTACAAGGATGTATGATAAAAATACATACTTTTTGTTAACGATTATAAGATGCCAACATTGCCATGCCAATATAATTTAATTACATTAAACAAGAATGGCAAGAATGCACAAAATGGATTTTTTAAAACCCCAGAAGACTTAATCCCATTGCAGGAAAATTGAAAAAAAAGAAAAAGGGGATAATTTCGCTTTAAATACAATGCTTTGACTCTTTGCTTTGGTTTTACCATCACGTTTTTTTTTTTACTGACAAGCACCTTTATTAGCAATAGAAGACAAACATGAAAGCTGTATCAAACAATGAAAGCTGTATCTAAAAACATATCTACGAAAGTTAAAGAACAACACACACTTCACTCACTCTCACAGTCATAAACTGTGACTTAATTAACAGCTCCATCTGCTTTAGTAGCAATAACAGTTGACTTGAAGGTGTTGCTGCTTGCTGGTTTGATGCCGTTGGTATCCTGTGTTTTTAAGCGATAGTGATCAAACAAAAACTGAAGGATGGAATGAATAAACACTGAGACATGAGTACACTGACAGTGCACAGAGAAAGACAACAAAGTAATCAGAATAATGAATGACTGGCAGGTTGCCTTGGGTTTAAGCAAACATTTTCTTCACCTCACTCTTATCTGCTGCTCATCACAAGAAATAAAGAAGACTTGATGGGATGTGTAGCTTCTTAGAATGGATCATTTTGTCTAACTCCGTGCAACTGTATGTTTTGACGACAGTTATTTCTATATCTCTACTTGCAAAAGAGCAAGACAAGCTTCAGTGCTTTCTCTCTTTTTTCTTCTTATTTGTTCCACTTCACTTCAGTGTGTGAAGCCTGAAGGTCAGCCATGTTTCAAGCTCCTCTATTTCATTTTCCTTATTTCATCCATCTCTTCACATCCCTTCCTCCCTGAACTGCCATATCCACCTTTGTCGGGCTAAATCCAAAAGGGCACTGTTTGTCTGTCTGCCGAACTCACCAGAGAGATGTCAGTCAGCAACGTACTCAGGCTCTCCGGATGATCCTCCTCATTGGTCTCTGCCACACTGTCGTTCTGAAAGATGAATGGGAAAAAAAGGAAGAAGAGGTAAGAAAAGAAATAGGCGAGGGTTTTGACAGGAAAACAGAGGAGGTTGGTATAATTAAAGGGATGAGAGGAAGTTTTTCAGCAGACATTAAACACAGATATGTGCTTATCTGAAAATATGTTCCAAATAAGACATTATTTTTCACATCAGCAGAAAATGGAAATATGTCACCTCAGTTCATGTTTGTTTGCCCATTGCAGAGCCCTAAGAGGATGGCAAATTAAGAAGACATGTGCATACACACACGCACACACACAGCCATCATGTCTTCTCTCACAAGCAAAACACACACACAGTGAAGTCAATAAATAACCATCAGCTCAGTTCAAAGCAGGATTTGAGGTCCCAATCCCACTGGTGGAGAGGACGTAATTTGGAGTAGATCTGCCAGCGATTTCAGGGCAAGGGAACTGAGTTGAGAGAAACATTGCCCTTCATTTAACTCTGCCACAAAACCAAAACAAAAGCCCCATCCATTCAGCTTAATTACCCCTCGTTGCCGCATGCCGCACTTACATCCAATCCATTTATCACAAGAGTCAATCGATTTTAACCATGCTGAGACGCCGCAAGCACTGTAAGCAGTCGGAACACTCTGCCTCAAACATACTTTACCTGTGATTGTGTTCATCCACAGCTATAATCCCACTAAACACAGACTCTAAGAGAAAAAGCATGAAGCACTGGTTTGCTGCTGTGCGGGGCTCGTCTTCTTTTGTCAGATGTGACAGCAGCTGCATCATGCTCCTTGACACTTCAAATGCTTCTGATGTTGGTGCTCCTGTTTTCCCTGTTGAGGGGCTGCAGACCACCTCCAGTTCTATTTGTTTTCTGACATGTCTCCCATAGTTTAGTCACAGCAAGGGTTGATGGAATGATTGCATGAAATGACACTTTTAAAAGGAAATGCTGTGCAGTCTGATTTTACACAGCTGGATTAAATACAGTAAACTGGTGTGACTTTACCTTACAGTTATACTCTTTTCTGGTTAGTGGGAGTAAAGGTTCAGTTAAGGTTTTTAGTTGAGTTGTTTAAGATTAGGGAATAATAGAAATCTACTGCCAAAGTCAAGTCTAAAAACATATTTGTGTGAATACATGAGGTAGTATTCAGTTAACTGTATACCTGGGTGTGACTCAGAAATTCTGTGTTTTTATCCACCAAAACCCACATGGCTCTCTAATCTGCTTTACACAGCAGCGCCGTAGTCACCCATGGGTTCAAAACAGCACAAACAGACACACATACAGAAAGGAGAATAATACAGACCACACATACACAGTCACTCTGTACATGCTGGTTCTCAGACAAGGAAGTGAAAAGGCCTGCAAAAGCAATCTGAAGCATCTGAAAGAGGAGTGTTCAGAGGATAAATCGGAGGCTATTCAACAGCTTAACACTTCTGTCAGCTCAGATGGTGCATTCTATTTGTGTGAATGCGAATGTGTTCATGTATGCAAAATCAGTGGTATTCATTCAACAAAATACTCATGATTTGTTTGCCATGTTCTGATATTTATATACTGAGGAAAACCCAGTCCAGTTTAAAAAAGACAAACATAACAATGAAAACACGAAAATATACCGTAATTTGCAGATTTCGAATGGATACTTTTAACCAGATAGAAAAGGATCCAATCACCATATTACCTTATGTTAAAGTGATCAACTTTAATTGGAAATAATCCATCAAGGGTACCTGTAATGCCTGGGATTTGCGTATTGACACAATCACTGCTAAAACAGAACTCTGAGAGGGTTCTCCATCCCCCAAAAAGCAGTCTGTTCTGACCGGATAGCTCTAGTGTTCTGATCAGAAATCACCATCCATTCTTTAGAAGCTCTACTCAAAAATGTGGAAAAAGCAAATGAAAATTTGCTTAATTGTGTAATCAATAAACATCCCAGAGAGCAGAAAGACTTATTAGCCTTTTAAAAAAGAATTCCAGGGAATGACACATTCCAAACTACTGTAAGTCTCTCTTTTTTTAATAGATGTTGGGATTAACACAGGCATAACTCTTGCTTAACAGTATGAAGGTTCAGGGTTTGAATCTTGGCAGTTACTGGGGGCCTTTCTGTACAGAGCTTGAATGTTTACCCCATGTTTTTCCTGTGCATGCATGGGCTCATTAAAACCCCTACTACCCTTATTTATTTGTAAATATAATCTCTTATCTATCCATTTGAAATGAGCAGAGGTAATGATCCGAGATGATCTCCTTTCTCCGGCTCTTCTTGAAGGACCAGATGATGTTCCCTTCCCAGTCGATTGCTACAAGATCGAGGCAGGTTTAGTTGTGTCTTGTCTAAGTGCTTTCTTGTGACTTCCGGTATTATTTTGATATTCAACTTTCCTCTCGTTTCAGCTTACATACCCTTCCTCTTGTATCCGATTGTCTGTTTAGCCCTGATGTGTACCACATGTGCCCCATTCTGTGTATTTTCTGTGTATTTGTTTTTATATAGTCATTGCTTTTTCTTTGTCCTGTGGCAGTTCGTCTTGTTCCTGTTTCAGACAACTTAGCCACTTATATTGCCAAGTTTAAGCCTTTGTCAAGTTGTATATACTTGTGCCATAGTCTGCCTTGTCATTTACTGTTCCTCGTTAGACTGAATTTTGAGTTAGTTGTTGTCTTCTTCTGAGTGTTTTTCTGTTGATACTTTGTTTGTTCGCCTTGTTGAGAGCATTTCTGTTTTTGCAGTTATTAGAGATTTTTTATTTGATACTTTTATTTGTCAGAGTTGTGCTTTTGGGTTCAGGATCAGGTTCACGTTCATGACATGCCATCATTTTCTATTCAAGTAGGCAAATTCACTAAATGTCCTACCCATCTCAACAGACTCTTTCCATTATGATGGAGTAGCAACTACACACCAAAATCTTAGAAATGGGCACCATACCTTATTTAGGAAAACATATTTCACATATGTCCCTTTTTTGGCGTTTTTTCTTATTTTAATAATTTCCTAAAGGCGACAAAAATGGATGATGGTCACTAATGATTAAGTTTTCCCTACACCACAACAGTACGGTGTTTACAAACGTTTCGAAACTCCTCCATTTGTGTTTTGAGTCACTCCTGACCTTGACTGCGCAATTTTCCCTTATCCAACAGTGGATTAATGGCCTTACACCTGTCAATATTAATTATCATCCTGTTTGCAAGATTATTGTTGTTTCAATTAGGGGTAGCCATGTAATTTTCGAAAGGTATGATATGCCCATTTCAGTTGAAATTTCACTGGTAATAGTCACACACTGGTAACTAGAAAACAACTGTACTGGCCCATTACAAACTGAAGTGATCAACATGGTAGTCTACAAATAAATTTGTTTATCCACGAAAAATTGAGTATCAGCAGATTGACAAATGTAGAAAGTGAGAAATGGAAATATTTTGCTCTGCTGAAAGCCTTGGACAGTTTGAAAGGGAAAATACTTCTTTCTGTGGAGTGGCTACAGTATGCTATCCAAAATATAAAGCTTATTAGGTTAGTGTGTAACAAATGGATTTCTTGTAATGATTGTAGTCACTGCTGGGTTTCAGGAATGAAACAGGCAGTGTCTCTCTTAACTGAGACTAAAAGCACCAAAGTTTCCATTTAAGTCAAGAAAAAAACACCTCAAAAGGAATAACAACAAAAGGCACTGCAAACAAGTTCACAGCAAGAGCAAAAGACAGGATAGTTTTAGAGGCTTTTTTGTTCTGATGTGTATTTTGTATGTGTGGGCCTGTGATGAAAAGCACTCATCACGTTTAGTTGTAAATCCTACCTCCATCATATCTATCAGCCAGAGCAGCCTTTCCTACAATGAGGGAGAAAGGGGGAGGTTTTAGAGCTCATGAAGTAGAAGTGAGTGGGTTACTAAGGTAGAAAAAAAACATACTACCTATCAAATTTGAGCTGAAAAGACTTTATTTTAGTCTCAACACGTAGGTGGAAAAATGTGTCACAGTACTGCCTGACAAAGTTGAACTAAAGCAAGATCTTTCTTATAGAAATAAATATTCTAATGAAATAAATCTCTACCTCTATGATTCACTCTAATTCGACCTTTGAGCAGACAGCCAAACAGAAATTGCACTTGAACGAGACTGACAGCAAAGCAGATCAGAAATAGATAAATAAAAAGGCATCACTCAAACCACCACACGGTTTCAGCCGATAATTTAATTTTTTTGCAAAAGAGGAGATTGGTTTAAACAGATTTCAAGACAGAGTCTCCATTTGTAATCTCCAGAGATTTGACAGTATTACATAATTGAAGAGGAGGCAGGTAATTACTTTGTCAGTAAAGCCAGCCTACCCGTGCAGAGCTGAGGGTCGTGTTGGTCATGAAGCTGGCTGAAGATGATGTCAGTGTGTCCGGGTATGACACCATAGACATGGAGTCTTGATGCATGGCTGTGGCTCCAGCTGTTCCTTGTCGGGCCTTTAGAGCCTGAATTTCTCGTCGAAGCACCAGCCCATCAAAGCGTTCCAGGTCCTGTGGGGTTACCAGGCCTCGTACCTCTGACAGTAGAGAGAACTGTGACGAGAAGGTGAAGAGTGGAGGGAAAGTATGAAAAAGCCAGGATTCAGGCACAAAGATTGAGCTTTAAAGGTTCAAACTGCAATAACATTATTTATTTGTTCTCCTACTAAATATCTGATCTTTAGTTGCAGAACATAACACACAAGATGGAAATGTGTTCACATTTTTATGATGACTTTCAAATCGAATTAAGGACCAGTATGTGACATAGACATACACATGATGTAGTAAATTGAAATGAGCGGTCCATAAGGTGTACAATGGACTTTTCAGCCACATGAGACCCATTTTTTAAATGATTTACTCTTTATTACTGGCATGCAGCATCTGGTGCAACACTCCATTCGTGCTTTAACTAAGTCATGACTCTGTTCGTTTTAATGTCCCATGGAGAGATATTAGGTAATGAAAAAAAAAATGTTTAAAAAAGTTCCAACGTTTTAAAATCTTTTTTTCTTATTCTAACCTAGCCTATAAGCTTTCTTTTGGTATTTGAAAAACTGGAAAACATGCGCATAAAGAGATATGATTATAAAAACACAATGTAAACCATTATGGATTTGGTATCTATATTGATTTTTGTCACTCCAAATTTACAGTGCTGATGGCGAAAGGATGTAAACCATTGGATTTAACAGTTGGTCAAACCTCATTTCGCTGCAATAACTAAAAGATGATAGGATTTATATTTCCCCTGCAATGAACTGCTACATTTCCAGGCTTGTATTATGTGATTGTATGCATTTACATAATTCTGCATCCTCTGAGCTTTAGTTGGCATACGGACATTGTATCCTGTAAAATATCTTGATAAAATTAGGATTTAATTCTCTTCTCCATGATGGTTCCAGTGTGATTTATCTGATCAAAATATGTTCCCTTTTGTACTTTTGAAACAAGGTTGCTACAGTAGTACAAACGTAAAATTTAACATAATTTACAGTCCTAAATAGTGCTCTGAAACATTTTACAAACTCAGTCCACTCAGAGAATCTTATTTCCTCAGAGAATCTTATTTTCTTATTTCCTTAATTCCTTTTTATGTTGTGAGGATGTAGAAGGTCTTATAACTTGTGTATTACAGATTCACAAAAATGGAAGCAAATAAACTTGATTTAAACTGTTCTTACTGAGTACTCTGCATTGTGTTGCTAGAAAGGTTATATTGGCCTACTTTTAACTTGACTGAAGAGTCATCACATGATACTATAGGGAAAATGGTTGCCTGGAGGGCCTTGTGCATGCCCATCAACAATGACATTTATGTTATGCCAACGCCCCTTGATGGTTGCACACTTGTAGATGTGTTATATGTAACTACCCTATAACTCCCACTCACAGGGAGAGCAGTCAGAAACCATTTCCATTTACAGACTCTGTTCACTGAACTATCAAAACAATCTGAGATGACTCTCTAATCCTTTCAAGTCTGATCTAAATCAACAGCTGTAGATGGAGAGCCTTTTTCCCATACAGACGGGTGACCTGTAAAGGTGCCTCTTGTAGAGATAAACTCAGATGACTGAGTGAATAGAGCCTGATTGTAAAATAACAACCTAATCTGTATCTGAGCAGATTGATGATGGCTGCCGGACATTTAATAATAAACTGCTGATTGTGTTTTCACTTCACTTCAATGAATGAAAAACTAAATGATATAGCTTTACTCTGAATATAGCTGAATTAAAACACATTACATCACGCGTCATGCCCGCCCCAATTCATGTTCTTGATCGCTTATTTAGACCCTGTTAAATATAATAAATGAGTACAGAAATGAGGGGTTTTAAAAAAAAATGAGACCATAAGAACATTGGTATAGTGAAGCAACAATCCACCTGATTTGCACACCATGAAAAGTGTGGCCTCTTATCACTAGCGTAATGCTAATAATAATAATAATCATCCATTTCTAACCCTAACCTTAACCCTTAAATAGGGGTTTTCACTCGTGGCCCTCGAGCGCCTCTGTCCTGCAGGTTTTAGAGGTTTCCCTGCTTCAACATACCTGATTCTGATTAAGTAAATCCATTCAAAGGCTCAGTTAAGCTTAATAATGGTAATCTGACGTGAATCAGGTGTTTTGAAGCTGGTAAACCTGCAGGACAGTGGCACTCGAGAATCGACTTTGGACAACCCTGAATCAAGAGTGTTATACTTTTTTTTATTGATAAACCAGGTTAAATTAAATATTTATACTATATTCTAGCAATGCCTGACTAAAAATCAGGTATTTACCTAAAATTAATTAATTAAACAATATCTGTACTCAAACAAACTAACTCTGGTCTCATTCTAATTGTAAAGTATAGAGAAATCAGCACATAAAACTGTTTCCAATTAACTCAGACAGAATCAGATTTTTTTTAAAGGTTAACCTCTGGAACAGCAGTGTGGTTATTTGCAGCTTTTTAAAAATATATCTAACAATAATTTTTGAGAAACGCTTGCCTTTGTCCAGCAGACACTGAAATAGCTTACTTTTGTACTGAGTATTAAACAACTTACTTTGGTCTATTTCTATTGTTTTATGATATTTTACCTTTGCATGTGTGTTTAGGAGCTCAAACAGTGCCATGACCAGCTGCTCCACCCCGATGTGTCCTTCCCGATACTCCTCTATGTAGTAGCCCATGGTCTGACGCTCCACCTCTGTCAGCAGGTGACGTGCCTGTTCCTCTAGCATGGCACGAGACTGGTTGACTAGGCTGGACAGGGTTACCTGTGAGCCTGCCACACCCTTATAAAATCCGGGCTGTTGTAGATGAGAAAAAAAAAAGACAGTTTTTATGATTTAATTTGTCAGAATTTTTCCCACAATCTTTCTGACTCATGAAGAGAAATAGAAAACAATCCAGTGAGTAAAAAGGACAGGTCAGGGAGAGAAGCTGTGGAGATGAAATATGACAAAACATATTGTAATACACAAGGATTGTTTTGTTCTCTTTTGTCTTTAAACCATATTCAACAATAATAATAGGTAACTTGAACTGTAAAGTCTATTTAGTAAGAGTGTTTGGGGAAATGCAGAAGTTTCAACAGCAACGTGTGTACAGAAATGCTACAAAAGACACACAAATGAAATAAAACAAGTGTTGGATAACTGACACAGTCAAAATAATAAGTGCTCAATAGTCATATTTGCAGCCAAATATGCATGCATCCACATCAATATTTTTTTCTTCCATTTTTGAGGAAACAACAGAATGAAAAAATGCTAATGGTTTAAAAAGATTTAAACTACAAATTATTTGGCACTAGCTGTAATGAAAAAGTACAGACTCTTGCACATTTGTTGGATTGATGTATGAATTTGAGAGAGAGAATGATGGAAGAAAATAAAACAAAACAGCACAGGTATCTTTGGGACGATTGATATCTTTGAGAATCTGGAAATAATCTAAATGTTTAACATGAAACAAAAGGATAAGGAACTTGGTGGCAGGTGTTAATGGATGAAATAGGGAGACCACACATAAGACCAAGAAAAATTTGATGGAGTGAGGACGAAAAAAAAATATGGACCACAAAATGCCAGAGTTTACTGAGAAATGACAGTCAGAATGGAAACAGTAGATCAGGGTGACCAGAAAATAAACGAGTATTTAACTCATATCTGCTCTTTCTTTTGCCCTCCCTTTCAGCTACTCTTCTGTTTTTGGTCATCACTGAGTAGATTTTTAAAAATTAACTCCTTAATCAAAGACACCACTTCAAAGTCATAATTTCAGGGTCCGAGTCTGTTAGAGTTTGTCGAAATGGAAAGAAGAGCGAAAAGATCCCCATTCCTTCATTGTCTTTGCCTTCCTTTACCAAATCCTCAACTCTTAGTCACACTCCTATCTGCATTATTAGCTGTAGTCATGGTATTGCCGTGGCCTGTGCGGAGCCAACAAATGTTAAATTCCCAAGGTGAATTGAGGCAGTACCCTTCTTGAATCTTAATAACTGCATTGCTTGGCAAAAGAATATCCTTAAAGCATCCATATCCTGGTTATTTAACTCAAGGGCATAGTGAAGTGATAGAACCACACATCCCAGTCTGACTGAGTAAGGCAGATTGACAACTAAGAGGGTAAATGAAATCTCTTGTCACTCTGCTGGAGTGGAACACCTGCAGTCTCCTGCTAATAAGGTCTGCTGCACTTGAATAGACACTGGCGGTTTCTTCTGTAGGACCACAGTGTTACAGTTAATGGACATGCATTACAGCTACTCCATTTGCAGGACCAAGTTGGTCAATGAGGTCATTCGTACGCTAGGTCCGTTGAATACCAAATAAACTGATTCGTCCTTTAATGTTACAAACAACAATCCCAATGACCTCAATCAATAACGAGAGCCACGGAAAAGTCATTACATTTAACAATACAGAGCAGAAAAAAGAACTTGTGACAACAAGTTCCATATAAAACACTTGTGTGCGGATGAGATATAGTTAATGTTAAATCATCTACTAGTTCATTTTGCTTTGACTGAGTCAGAAGATGGACATTAGAGCACAACGCATCAGAGCCTCAACTTCAGATGATTAATTTGAAGACAAAGATCAACATAGAACATTTATAAAGATGCTTTGAGTGGATTAAGTGAGTCCCTCAAGTTTCAGCATTGGGAGCTTTTCTCTTTGTCTTCAACAGCACCTCACTGGGCCAGATCATCAGATCACATGGCTTCTCATACCACTATGCTGACAATACCAGCTCTATCTGTCGTTCCCACCTGATGACCACGCAGTCTCAACACGATCTCAAACTGTCTCTCTGACACATCAAAATAGAATAAAGCCTGTCTCCTCCAGCTAAAGCTCTCTAAAACTCAACTACTTGTTTTTCTAGCCAAACTGAAAATATGTCTTATGCTTCATTAAAGGCAGCTGGAAACTTGGTGTCATGGTTTAAGACCAGCTTATTGCCAGAATGATGCTAGCTGTAATGCTGTATCTGCATTGTAAGTCGCTTTGGATAAAAGCAATTGCAAAAAGCATAAACATACACTTGAAAAAAGCTGCTAAAATACATTTCAGAAAACTAAATTAAAAAGTGGCAGCTAGGTTTAAAAGTAAAAAAGACAAGTATGTTTTCTGAAGTAACAAAAAAAGACACATGGCTGAATAGTCTTTAGTTTTTAGTACTAGGCACTTTACTTTACTCTCCATCCATCCATCCATCCATTCTCCTCCGCTTATCCGGGGTCGGGTCGCGGGGGCAGCAGTCGGAGCAGGGAAACCCAGACTTCCCTCTCCCCGGCCACTTCAGCCAGCTCCTCCGGGGGGATCCCGAGGCGTTCCCAGGCCAGCCGGGACACATAGTCCCTCCAGCGGGTCCTGGGTCTTCCTCTGGGCCTTCTCCCGGTGGGACGAGCCCGGAACACCTCCCCAGGGAGGCGACCAGGAGGCATCCTGATCAGATGCCCGAGCCACCTCAACTGGCTCCTCTCCACGTGGAGGAGCAGCGGCTCTACTCTGAGCCCCTCCCGGATGGCCGAGCTTCTCACCCTATCTCTAAGGGAGAGCCCAGCCACCCTGCGGAGGAAACTCATTTCGGCCGCTTGTATCCGCGATCTCGTTCTTTCGGTCACTACCCAAAGCTCGTGACCATAGACGAGGGTGGGAACGTAGATCGACCGATAAATTGAGAGCTTCGCCTTTAGGCTCAGCTCTCTCTTCATCACGACAGACCGGTACAGCGCCCGCATTACTGCAGACGCCGCACCGATCCGCCTATCGATCTCACGCTCCCTACCCCCATTCGCAAACAAGACCCCGAGATACTTGAACTCCTCCACTTGGGGAAGGACGTCCGCTCCGACCCGGAGAAGGCACTCTACCCTTTTCCGGTGAGAGACCATGGTCTCGGACTTGGAGGCACTGATCCTCATCCCAGCCGCTTCGCACTCGGCTGCGAACCGCTCCAGCGAGAGCTGTAGGTCCCGACTTGATGGGGCCAACAGGACCACATCATCTGCAAAAAGCAGAGATGCGATCCTAAGGCCACCAAGACTGACACCCTCAACACCTCGGCTGCGCCTAGAAATCCTGTCCATAAAAGTTATGAACAGGACCGGAGACATAGGGCAACCTTGGCGGAGTCCAACTCCCACCGGAAACGAGTCCGACTTACTACCGGCAATGCGAACCAAACTCTGACTCCGGTCGTACAGGGACCGAACAGCCCGTAACAAAGGGCCAGGTACCCCATACTCCCGGAGCACCCCCCACAGGATACCCCGAGGGACACGGTCGAACGCCTTCTCCAAGTCCACAAAACACATGTGGACTGGTTGAGCGAACTCCCATGCACCCTCTAGGACCCCGCTGAGGGTATAGAGCTGGTCCAGCGTTCCACGGCCAGGACGAAAACCACCCTGCTCCTCCTCGATCCGAGGCTCGACTATCCGACGGACCCTCCTCTCCAGAACCGCTGAATAGACCTTCCCAGGGAGGCTTAAGAGTGTGATCCCCCTATAGTTGGAACACACCCTTCGGTCCCCCTTTTTAAATAGGGGGACCACCACCCCAGTCTGCCAATCCAGCGGGACTGCCCCTGATGTCCACGCGATGTTGCAGAGTCTCGTTAGCCAACGCAGCCCCACAACATCCAAAGCCTTTAGGAACTCCGGCCGAATCTCATCCACCCCCGGGGCCCTGCCACCGCGGAGCTTTTTGACTACCTCGGTGACTTCAGCCCCGGAGATTAGAGATTCCAGCTCCGAATCCCCAGGCTCTGCCCCTCCAACGGAGGACGCGCCAGTGGGATTGAGGAGGTCCTCGAAGTACTCCGCCCACCGACCCACAACGTCACGTGTTGAGGTCAACAGCACACCATCCCCACTGTAAACAGTGTTGGTGGGGCACTGCTTCCCCCCCCTGAGACGCCGGATGGTGGACCAGAATCGCCTCGAGGCCGTACGGAAGTCTTTTTCCATGGCCTCCCCAAACTCCTCCCACGCCCGGGTTTTTGCCTCGGCGACCACCCGAGCCGCACGTCGCTTGGACTGCCGGTACCCATCGGCTGCCTCCGGAGTCCCACAGGCCAAAAAGGCCCGATAGGACTCCTTCTTCAGCCTGACGGCATCCCTCACCGCCGGTGTCCACCAGCGGGTTCGAGGGTTGCCGCCACGACAGGCACCGACAGCCCTGCGACCGCAGCTCTGGGAGGCCGCGTCATTGATGGAGGCGCGGAACACGGCCCACTCGGACTCAATGTCCCCCGCCTCCCCCGGAACGTGTTCGAAGCTCTCCCGGAGGTGGGAGTTAAAGCTCCGCCTAACAGGGGACTCCGCCAGGCGCTCCCAGCAGACCCTCACAACACGTTTGGGCCTCCCGGGTCTCACCGGCATCCTCCCCCGCCATCGGAGCCAACTCACCACCAGGTAGTGGTCGGTGGAAAGCTCCGCCCCCCCTCTTGACCCGAGTGTCCAAAACATGCGGCCGCAGATCAGCTGAAACGACAACGAAGTCGATCATTGAGCTGCGGCCTAGAGTGTCCTGGTGCCAGGTGCACATATGGACACTCTTATGTTTGAACATGGTGTTCGTTATGGACAATCCGTGCCGAGCACAGAAGTCCAAAAACAGAACACCGCTCGGGTTCAAGCTGGGGGGGCTTTACTCTATCCTGTGAATAATGTCTATAATGCCAATTCCTGCCATTGCTTGTTTTTTCTTGGTTAGCTTTTATTCAATTGAGCTTTGAAGTCTTTCAGAAAGGTCCAGGAAGGATAAGACATGAAGAAGTAGAAGAGATAGGGAGA